TTTTTTTTTTTTTTTTTTTTTTTGTAATAAAGGTGTTGGTCCCGAAAGGGTGGCGAGAAGTCTAGAGGGGGGGGTGAATAGACTTCTCTAACTTTTTCAAACTTCTTCTGCAAACAACACTTTGTAACTTCAACTCTAAGTAACAAGCATAAACAAGTATAACAACTTAGAGTGTGCACAGCGGAATTGTAACGGCAAAGTGTTATGCTTTAAATTGTGTCGTGCTCAAATAGAGATTTTATACATGCATCACGTTAGAAACACTTAGTATAGATGTAGGATGATGTATATAAAATTTCACTTGCATGCAAACGAGGGAACTATCAAACCCAGACAGATAAAGATACACAATAAACCGTAATGGGTTAGTTCACAGATAATATAGGCATGCACGAAATATATATGAGCAATAAGTAAATAGAGAGAGAGATTTATAGTGGTTCAGAGGTGGTGTAATCCTCCTAGTCCACTCTTTCCTTTCACTTCAAGGAGCACTACAAGAAAAACAACTTTTAGTGACAAAAAATTAGTGACGGAGAGAAAAAACTCTCACTAAATGTATTATTTGTATAGCTTTTGTGAGGGTTAAAAATTACTCTCACTAAAAGTTTATGATTTAATGACAATTTTTCTTTTATACTTCTTTTAAAAACATACTCTCACTATTGATACAAAAGTTGTTTTACTCTCGCTATTGATTCTGAAATTTTTCACTAAAATATACTTTTCCCACCAAAATTTTATTTCTGGGCCCCCTTGTACATAAAATCTATATATATATAAAAGTAAAATCCTCCTATTTCATTTTCCCGCCCAAACTTTTGTTGTAAAACTTATTTGGTAACCAAATGTAAAATAGAAATTAATTAAAATTTATTAATTGATAATATTGTTTCCATATTCACGTATTAACCTAATTGGTAAATCTATTAATTGATAATATTTTTTCCTTATATTCATTTATTCATTCTTTTATATTGAGTAATTATATATAGAGATATAGATATGTATACTAACATACAACTATTACGGCTTCAATGTTTATTCTTGCCCAGGATATTTCTCCATTGAAGACTTGCAGAGCTATTCGACTGCAATTAGTGCGCACCTATATGAAGTCACATAGAGAAAGAGGAGTGAATCTGTAAAATCTAGAGAGTGCATGTTTCACGATCAAGAGGTTTTTTTTTTTTTTTCTTTCAATTTTGCTTTTTTATACGACTCCAATGTTTATTCTTGCCTAGGATATTTCTCCATTGAAGACTTCCAGAGCTATTAGATAGTGATTGGTGTGCACCTATATGAAGTCTCATAGAGAAAAGGGGGTGATTTCATAAAATCTAGAGAGTGCACATTTTCCTATCAAATGGTATTTTTTTCGATTTTGCTTTTTTCTATAACTTGTGTTGTATATGAAATTGGGAAAAAGATGCATTACAAAGCTGCTTCCTATACTGCAAAAATAAATTACAAAATAACAATTTTCTTTTTTACTTCATTTTAGGGAACTTCATGCTCATATACCAAGGGAATATGTTGGTAAGTACTGTAAGCTTTTCAAACAATGAAAAGTTTATGCTATTAAAAATTTTATGGTGATAAGTAATTTCTATATTTTCAAAAAATGCACTCATTATTTTATGTTGTAATTTCACTATGCTACTTTGGTTAAATAATATATAAAAAAAATGACAACTTTTCTAGACAAATTTATTTATTGAAACCATTTTCATCTTTGAAGTCTGTAGATGATAAACAATTCGTTGGTAAGTTTCATTTACAATTTTAATCTACATCCGAATTTTTTTTTATTAACATGTTTGACGTTATTGGTAGGGTCGTTGAGATATACTCCCCATTGGATAAAATCATTGCAGGGAAGCCTTCTTAACTTATTGATTTTCTAATTGTACGTGGATACAAAGTAAATTATCTAATTTTGTTATTTTTATTGTATTTTGTATATGTATTTTTATTAAGTACTCCGTAGTTTATTTGTTTATAGGGACAATCAATTGAAAGCTACAGTGTGGGATCAACATATACCAAGGCCAAGAGTTGAAACCTTATTTATTTATTTATTTATTTTTATATTTTGGCCTTGCAAATCCTATGGTTGTTCTTATGCAATTGTGTAGAGTTAAGAATGATACGAAGAGTTAATCTACACACAAGTGTTTTAATTTTTCTTTATATTTGAAAGTGTTTGAATAAGGACAAGTAATGAATGTTCTTTTTTATTAGCCAGTTATGTCAAGATATGTAACTCTTGATACACAGTTCATTTTCAATCAGGATTTCCAGAGTTTTGTGATTTTTTGGAAATGTAAATTTATTATGTCTTAATCATTATCATAATGTTTTTATCATTTATTTTTGTAAATATTTTGTTTATGATTGTCATTTTTTTTTTCAGTTTATGTGTTGATTAGACCCCTCTAATAAAAATTATGGATATTTATGAGATGATCGAGGTAAACAATAGCAACAATTTTTTTTTTTTTTTAAAAATTGATGCAGTGGCAACAAATTAGAAAATCATCTTTTGCCACTTTTTAAAATGATTTATTAGTATAAATTGTCACACTTTAAAATGTATTTTTAATGTTAATAAATAAATTAGCTTAAAATAATATATTAAAATCTAAAGGATAAGCAAAGTATAATTTAAAGTATAAAATAAAGCCAAAGTTGTACATGTTTGCAAAGTGATGGAGCACTGTAATAGTCTTAGTGCATCCAAATAAATGCATCATTTAACTGATTATTTCTTTCTTATCTCACACTAAAGGTTCAATACTGCAGATATATATAAAGTATTAGTAATAACATTGGTACTGCTAAATGTGTATATAACTAATTATTTATTGATTTAGGATCAAAGAGTGCCCTATATGATCTTCCAGATATATTAATTATATTATTTAATATAATAATATTTTTGGTAACATTATTGTTTGCAAGTTCTCCGTATTTTTTTTTTATATATTTATAATACCGTGTAGAAAAGACATTAATTAATTAGGTAATAACATAATAGCATAATTGGTAATATTATGTATGGTATTACCATGTAGAATTTTTGAATGTTTATCACCAACTAATTTAATACAACTTATTTTGTAAGCAAATGTAAAGTAGAAATCAACTAAAATCTTAGTAATATTGTTTCCATATTCAATGCTCTCACGTAACATAATACCCTATATAACAAATTTAAACAATTTATAATATAGCCAATTCATCATATATGTATGTTACAACCTCATGGTCAAATCTATACTATAATTAAAAACAAAATCATATTTACTTGATTTCATGTCCAAACAATAGTAAATAGTAAAGGTAAATTAAAAAAAATGAAAAAAATGAACATAAATATTTCACAATAATATTCTACATTATCAATTAAAAATGTAATGGAAATTAGGTAAATTGGAAAAAGAAATGAATATTAATAATTTACTGAAAATTAAAAATGAAAAAAAAAAAGGAATTGAAGTTAGGTTAATTGGAAAAGGAAATGAATATTAATAATTGACTGAAAATAAAAATGATTCATAATTGACTAAAATGGAAAAGGAAATGGTAAGATCATTGCATTTTAATTTTTCACAATAATATTATACCGTATAATACATCAAATCACAATTATGTCATAAATCTTTCACAATTTTAAACAATGAAATGAAAATTAAAAATAGAACAAAAATATTTTAATAATAATATTCTACATCATCAAGTAAAAGTAAATTAAAAATGAAAAGGAAATATTTAAATAATAATATTCTACATCATCAATAGTAAATGCATATTTTAAACAATAGTAAAGGTAAATTAAAAATGAAACTGGAATATTTCAATAATAATATTCTACATCATCAATTATAAATGGAACGAAAATTAGGTAAAAATATCACTGCATCTAATATTCTAATTGACTAATTGAATGAAAATTAAAAAAAAAAAAGAATAATTGGCTGAAAATGAATATGACATTACAAATTGACTGAAAATATAAAAAAAAATGAATACTAATAGTTGGCTGCAAATAAAAAATGATCCATAATTGATTAATATGAAAAAAATAAATGGTTAGATCATTGCATTTTAATTAAAAATGGAACGGAAACTAAAATATGACGGAAATATTTCAATAATAATTCTACATCATGAATAGTAAATGCATATTTTAAACAATATTAAAGATAAATTAAAAATGGAACGTAAATATTTCAATAATAATATTATACATCATCAATTAAAAATTGAACAAAAATTAGGTAAAAATATCACTGCATATGATATTCTAATTGACTAATTGACTAAAAATATAAAAGAATAATTTGCTGAAAATGAATTTGATATTACTAATTGACTTAAAATATAAAAGGATCGCTAATTGACTAATACTCTACCATTATATATTTTCACCCGAGTCACCTATCCTGAAAGACTGAAGGTGTTAGCTCTATACGATGATGGACAGGATTGCGTTGCTACAACCCGATGTCATCTACAAATAGGTTTCAATAATGTGTAAATACAATCGTTGATATTATGTTTTTTTTAAATGGCAAAATTGCTATATATCTAGACAAAAATATATATATTCCATACAAATGAATTAAGATAACAATTTATTCCTATAACTGAGTTGCTAGAGAACGAACACATTTACCTAATTTATAAAAAATAAATACTAAACAATGATAAATAAAATCTCTAAAGTTACAGCATCGCATGCGTACATTTACACATAAGCTATTAATTTGAGCAATTATTTGCTCAAATCTAAACAATGATAACATCAAAACACATAAATAATTCAAAACATATCTTCCATTGCACTGTATAATATTTAATGTTCTAATTTAAATAATTATATATCAATTCAAATATTTTTAATATATTATAACAAATCTATCGCACGGGCGAAAATACTAGTTAAACAAAAGAGACCATGTCTTCTTCGCTCAGATCTGATCTGTCCCTCTCACTCTCCGCTCTCACACTCCATCTCCCTCTCACTCTCCCTCCCCCTCCCCCTCTCACTCTCCCTCCCCATCTCACTCTCCGACTTCTTCGGCAAGCGATCACGAGTGTGGATGTGAACCTCAGGCTCAGGAGCTAACTAGGGCTCAGAGGAAGGGTGTTCGCAGAAAGAAGACGAAGGAAGCTGCTTCCTGCCGCCAAAAAATCAACGGGCAATTATTGCCTAATGCAAGCATATAGGTGCGGTAATCACAGACAAGCATCCTCCAGGTGTTCGAGAAAATGCCCAAACGCCAGGTAACCGTCAAACATATTCCATTTTGTTTATATATCCATTACCCAATAACCATATTAGGTTCGAAATCATCTCTCCTAACGATTATTGTTCCATTAATTACTTCAAAATTGTTTCTTTTTTCATTCGCAAATAACGTTATACTCTGCACACAAACTGTCTTCTTCTGATTTCAAGTTATTGTACTTATGGTGTGAAGAAGCAGCATGGTCTACAAAACAAAATATGGTAAAACAAAGAAGTTAGGCGGTGATAGTTCAATGTTATCTGGCATGGCAAATAGTGATGCTGGTTCAGGACCATTCAACAATGCAACCTCTAAGGAGTCTTAGTAGTCATGGGTGTTTTAGGAGACTAATGGCTCCGAGGAGAGTTCCAAATTGGCACCTGATGATCACTCCACCCTATTTACATTTGAAACTTCATATTAACATTGAAACAATATCCTTGCCTCTTTTAATTAGGTGTTGTCTTCTTACAGCTTTGCAAACTTCTAAGCGTTGAGGAGCACCCAATTGTTCAAAAATTGAGTGGGTTATTTGGAGCTGCACTTTACATAACTTCTCTTTCATATGGACATTGTAAGTAACACTTAGCTAGATCATATCCTGTTGTTTGTCAGAGCTTGATTAGATATAGAGATAAAGATTTTTCTCCCTTGTTATGCCTTTATCTAAATGGCTGCTTTATTTTTGATGATTTATAGCTCTTATCATGGAACTTATAGAGTTTCTGTTCTCTCATATTTCAAAATTGTATACATATTTTAGAAGTTTGGTGATAGTGAATGTTTGTTTATCTTGATTTCTAAGTTTTCTTAGTCTGCTGAAATTTATCTTGTGGAAATATACTTTTGGAACTCTGTGTGGAATTTCTACAATTCAATCACTCTTCTTTAATTGGTTTTGCTCCTCACATTCTTTTCTATTCTTCATAAAACACTGGACACTAGTTTTTTGTGCTGTCACTTGATGTAATGAATCCTATAGATCATTCCTGTTCTTATATCCTACACGCAACCAATTCAAATCCCTACCAATGCAAATTCATAGATTTAGTTCGAATTTAATTCCATGTTTTCTTTGTTTCAATTTTTTTTCCTTTCCGAAGCAACTGAGAAGAAGGTTGTGGGAATACTGGAATACTTGTTTTTAGTATTAAATAGTGGAGAAGGTGCACCAAATCAGTGCTTAGTACAGGATAACAGAAAAATAACAGAAAATTGGGGAAAGCTATGCAATTGCCTATCCCTCCTAAGGGGAAGAAAAGGGCTAGGATAGCAAGGGAGAAACTGCTTGCCAGTGATCTGTATATTCTTGAAAGGTTAATTGATATTAAAGATACTATTTTGTGTGAGATGAAAGTAGTGAACACATCAAATAACACTCAAATAGATGAAAGGAGGGGCTTCACTTAGCCAACTCTTGCTTATATGCTTTTCTTCTTAGTGTATTAATGGTGAGCAGTTTCTATGAATTTCAGTATATAGAAAGATGTGGATGGTACTTACCGGTTCAAGGCTCGTTGGTATATTATTTCAGAAGAAACTGCTACAGGAAGACAACCACATAACTTAAGAAGAGAGTTCTACCGAACGAATGACTTCACGGATGCTGAGGTAATTTTCTTCAACACTTGCTCTGGTGGGTGTTTGTAATTGTTTTCCTAATTTTCTTTTGTTTCTCCTGACTTTTGTTTTCAGATTACTTTTTGTATCTTGTTTTCCATTGCGTACTTGTTATCATGAACGAAGATCATTGAGCCATTGATGAATTTCATGCATTTATTTATTATTTTTAAGATTAAGATTTTGTTATGATGATTTAGATGTGACAATTGATAATTCACCAAAATAGAAGCCAAATCCAAGAGCATTGAGCATTTTAAGTAGAATATCTTTTATGGAATAAAAAATGCATCATGTATCAACATTGTCTTCTAATTATTCTCTTTTGTAGATGAAATCTATCATCAGACATTGCAAACAAGAAATGCTTTGCTATGAACATTACAAAATCTTCAGTTTGCTTTCTGTGAATGCTTCAAGCTGAACATAATGAATCAATTGCTAATGTAGTTCTATTTGTATGGCGTGAAACAACTCTTCCTGGACACACAACTTTTCTCTGTACATACAGATTCTGTACTTCCTTTCTTCCAAAAACAATAGGCTGATGTACACACAGAATAGTTATATTGCAATTTCTATTATCATTATATGATATGATTATTATTATTCTTAAACATAAAATTTTTGTTTAATCATATACGATAGTAACATAAAATTTTTGTTTAATCATAGTAGATGTCACCCTTCTCCTTACTCTGTTACAAATATTGATAGATAATTTGATGAATTCTAAGAAATTGTATGTCAAGATTATACTAAAACATTTTGGGATTTTATTCACAGTTAATCGGCAGAGGCTTGCGAGTTCCAAAGTTGGAAGTGAGATTATAAGCAGGGGTTTGACTTTTTGAGCGCCACCACTATTCTTGCAAGACTTGAGGCAAAATTAGTTCAAGATAAATTACTATGACTATTTGTTATAATTAGTTTCTTTGTTTTTAGTCTTTACAAAGTTGTATGAAACATTTCATTTTGCTAGTGATGATGAAGTCTTTTAATATATTGATCGAGTTTATTTTGATTGCATTATGGTACAATTTTTAATTTTTACTAATACAATATCTATAGTTACAACATCGATTAGTGAGAATAAAATGTATTACAAAAATTAATATTTAAAGAGAAGCAACAATGTATACAAAATTAGAAAAATAATATTTGGTACTAAATTATAATTATAATTTTTAATAATGGGCAAAATTTAATATAATGAGGAAAAATTTTGTTAGTAAATAGTAATATTAATGACGGGATTTCCCATCACAAAAAGAACGTATTAGTGACGGTAAATATACTATCACTATATGTTTATTAATGATGGTATCATATCCCGTCACTATTTGTTTTTAACCTCGGAAGGAATAACGACGGGTGGTGACGGTAAATTTCCCGTCACTAAAAGTCTTTTATGATGGGTTTTGAATTTTTAGTGACGGTTTTACCTCTCATTAATGAACAATTTTCTTGTAGTGGAGGAAATTCACTATTCTTCAATCACCCAGATACAATAGTGAATAAGTGCCCAACGACACTTCTCCGAGTGCTTCGCACAAAGCTACACTCCACCAAGGTTTTTCGCAAGCTCCTCTTGTTACTCCGCCTTCCCGAGTACTTCGCACCAAGCTGTACTCCTACACCACGAGAACTACGCACAAAGCTATGCTCTCACCGGGTTTTCACAAGCTCCCCTTGTTACTCTGCCCGTTACAACCGAGTGCTATGCACAAAGCTACACTCCAACTGGGTTTTTCACTCTCCCTAGTTACTCTACCCCTTTTCTACACTCAGTAGAAGATTTACAATGAAATACAAAGATTTCTTCTCTCAGACTTGAATTCTATCTTATATAGCTCAATATACCACTTGATGATTGATTGGATAATTTTCTTTGTTGTTCAAGTGTTTTCTGAATCTCTGTTAGATTCGTACTTGTCTTCAAGTCTGCTTGGGCAATTTATAGCAGATGAAAGCTATTTGCCCGTTGATCAACTTTCGATCTCGATCGTCCATTTTGAATTGTAGTTGATCAATTAATTTTGCTAACTTGGTCTGCAAAAATCATTTCGCCGTCTGTCAGAAGATTTAAATAAATTTGCCGTTGCTCCTCTTTAATCTGACAAAGCTTTTTCTTTGGAATGGGTAGCCTCCAAATTTGAATTTCTCTGGCATGACTTTTGTTGAATTATTGATCTGATGTGCCAAGTTGATCAAATAATTTATCTGCTGATTCTTGCTTGAGTATTAAAAAGATCTCCTTTGTATATCAGCTTCTTCTTCTTCTTCTTCGACTTCTTCTGCAGAAACAAAGCTTCAAAATAATGTTTCTGTCTAATTCTATCATGATGTCATAGCTCCTTTTGATGAAGTCATGTCCCAATAGTATATCATGTTCCACATTGTATCATGTTCCATTTCATATCATGTTCTAGCTGTCATGTTCCACCTTGTATCATGGACCATATATATCATGTTCCACCTTGTATCATGGACTATATATCATGTTCCACCTTGTATCATGGACCATGTATCATGGTTCCATTGTATATCATGAACCAATCTTATGAAATAATAAAATCGCTTCGGGTGGGAATCAAACTATGGACCATTTGCTTTGCTTGGCAAGGCTTTTTCCATCTTGGCTAGGTATCCAATTGATATAATCCAAGACTTAAATTCTTTTGACTTATCTCCTCCACGTGTTCTCCACTAGCTTTATCACATTGTGATGTCATTACCCGATAGTCGTGACGTCATCACCCGATAATTCTCAACTATCACGATAAAAATTGTTCTTTCATGATAGTATAACCTGATATTACTATCATGATGACATCATCTCCTGATATTGCTACTTCACGATAGCAATTCATCTTTACACCAAAATTGCTTCTAATGAGAATCAAACTATGGATCATCTCACATTAGGCATGCTTCAACAAGTCTTCTACCATCTCATCCATCTCAACCTTTGGTAACTTGATGCTTCATAAATCTGTTAAGCTATGATCCCGCTTTCATTTATTCTTCTTTAAAACTGCTTTTTCGTAGACTTCATGTAGGCTTCATGGCAGTGGTGCACTATACTTGGTGAACCAGAACTGACTCAAATAAAATAAAATTGGGGTCTACAAAATACATTTGGCTCATCAAAACTTCTACAATATATTCCTAACAATTTCCCCCTTTTTGATGATGCCGAAACTTATACCCAAGTCATTTGGCTATGTCAAATTTTTGAAAAACAATCTTTTTGTCCAATTTTATTGCGACTAGCCATTTGACGGGTTTAACACATTTAAGACCTAGAGATTTTAATTTTGGACGGTCCTAAACGTATATTGAGACTATAACGCGGGGTTGCGTATTGAATTTTATCTTTTAATTTTTCTTCCCCCTTTCAATTTTATTTTCTCAATTATACGCCTCACATGCAATTACTAAGTCCAATTTAAAATCTTGAGACTTTAAAGCAATTAACATACTAGACAAAGTAAAGAAATAAACCATATGCTAGCAATTTATATAATGTTCCAAAAAGCATAATTCGAACAAGCTAGCTATTATGTACACCAAAAAATTGAGGCTTCAAAATTTTACCTCTTGCCAATTAAGGCATTCACGTGTGCCCTTAATTCCTTGAAGTCTCGTTTCTTTCCTTCGAGTTGGTATGGTGCGGTGACTTGCTCGGTAACATAATTTCCATAAGCTTCTTGAACATTGTCACCACGTAACACTCCGGCTTGGTACCAAGCAACGCATTCTTCAAATGATCTTTCATCCACCATTTCGTTGCTTGTGTGCCCAAAGAATGTCTCCAACTCTCGTATAAGCTTCAACTTGTTTTCTTCATAAATTGATCTTGAAGGTGTTGATCTTTGGCATCCTTGTTGGCTAGGAAAATCCATGCTTTGAGGGGTCATCAAATAATCCATTATTCTCCTTTTTCCTCGGCCTTGAGCTCTCGGTGTGGGTGTGACTCCTCTCGGTGTTCCTGGAGGTCTAACAAGCTCAACTAGTGGCCGTTGTGACGACGGTCCAATCAAATGGTTCACCAAATGACTTGGAGCTCCTCTAGCTCTTTCCCCCTTTTCGGCAGCATCCACATAATGTTGGAAACTCGCCGAAGCTTTGTCTTGGCTCTTTTGGACTCCAATTAAAAGATCATTGTTCACGCCAACTTGATGCAGTAGAGCCTTCAATTGGTTCTCTACCAATCGTAGCCTCGATTCACACTCCGTTCCTTTCTTCCCTAAGTCAAGGAACATCTTCAAGACTTCCCTATTACGCTCTTCTTGCTTAGTAGACATTGTGGCCATATCACCTTGGATTGATCCTTGTCCAAGTAACAAGGATTCGGCCCTTTCATAAGCTTCCTTGTGAAAGTTATCTAATTTGGTATCAACATTACCAAATTGATTTTGGACTTTCTCAAACTCTTGAAAGACATATCTTCTCAACTCTTGAATTACCTTTCGTACATCCCCAATAATATTTTCTTTCAAAGTATCAATATTAATGGATGAAGAATGTACCTCCTTGTGTGACTCTTCTTGTGGTTGTCTCGGCATGGATGATTCCGGTGGTTCCACGTATGGTGCATCCTCAAGACACAAAGGCTCATCAAGTGTATGAATGAGTGGTTCGGCAGTGGCAATAGGAATCGGTTCGGCACGGCTTAGTGGCAAAGGTGACACTTCAATTTGTAGCACATTTTCTTGTTCCTCCATTCGGCTTTCATCATCAACATTTGCTTCCAAATTTTCATTCACCGAATTCGTCACATCCGTAGCCGTGTGGGGTGAAATAGCATCAAAACTAAGGTTGTTATCCCCAATATTCGAAGGAAATGGGTCCAATTCTTGCAAACTTCCACCTTCGGTCTCCTTCAAATGTGATGCTTCCCCATGTGTGCCGTGCACTTCTTCTCTAGAAATGACCAATGCTCGGGCAATATCATCACGAGCAAATCCATCTATTGTCTCAACGGCATCTTCGGGATCTTCTTGAGCCACTTTCTTGCCCCGACTAATAGCAACTTTCTTAATAAAGCACTCATTAATCACCGAAAGCCTAGTTGCGGTAGCAAGATTTCTTGTTCCAATCCATTGTAAAGCAAACTTCTCCAATTCTAGAGTATCCGGTCCTATCGTTGTAGCAACCGAATTATGATCACTTAACCTCCAATTTCTCCAAATTTTCACACGTTCATACTCTTTCATCAACTCACTACTTGCCCTATAAGTTGGAATGTCATCTACACTCCCAACTTTACTTGGTAAAACCACTTCTTCATTCGGGTTTGGGGTGTGGGTTACGGGTATGGGTATGGTAACAAATTGATGGCTACAAGCATCATCACTACCCCTTCCATGAGTATTGGATTCCCCGTGACTAGTAGCTCGGTTAGAAGGAGGCTTTTTGGCTAAGGAATGGGTTGATGTGTTTGCCGGTTTTCATTTTCGGATATTGGCTAGGGAAGGATCAACCGGGATTGGGGTTCGAAAAAGGTAATTTTGGTTTTGTATGGGTTTTGATTTGGATAGGGCAACACCTTTCAACTTCAACAACTCCCCAACAACAAAACCGCATCCAATATCATTAGGAAACCATCCATTCACCAATGGTTTTGCTAGGCCAATTTGATCAACTATTCGGCCATATATAAACCGTCCCCAATCTACGGCAACAACATTCACAATGGCATGCATCAAAGGCAAATTTTTCTTAGTAAAATAATTCCTACTAGAATATTTGCACTCAATAGTTTTATGCACTATATCAAGTAGCATTCCATATTCGTGCTTCAACATAACCTTAAAGCCATTAGTACACGTCTCGACTTGTGCGGTTTCGTGTCTAATTTCACTCCAAAAATCATTTAAATCAAAGCCGTGATCTTCCACTTTCAACAATTTTTCCTCCAATCCAAAATGAGTTCTCACATCATCTAACTCAATTTTCAACAAAACACCTCCAACAGTAGAATTTATAACACCATGTTCGACAAATGCGTGTCTATAA